TGAAGCCTTGCTGGAAGGAATCGAGCTCGCAAAGGAGAATCGCCGCCCTCAAGAAAGGGAATTTCCGTATACAGTCCTGAAAAGTGATTTTTGTCATCTTTGCTAATTCACAACCATAACCATCAGTATGTAATTTAAAAAAAAATAATAATAATAAAAAAATAAAAAATCACTTATGTAGTCTTGCCTTGGACCTTTTGTTGCTAAAACACTTATGCTGTTAAACATTGATGTACTGGCAGGTGCATCGCATTCTGTATTTGGAACTTGATTCTGACACTTTCTACATTCATGGTTATTATTAGGCGGCCGAACCGATACCATTAAACTGATACCGAACCGAACATGTTCGGCTTAACTAATATTCAAACCGAAACCGAACCGGTAGATAAAACGATTCAGCTTCGGTTTATACCGATAACAACTGAAATAATGGGTACTGGTTAGAGTAAAAACTCTACTGAAGGCCTTTTTTTCTTGTTAATGAATAATGGGTGACAGTGTGAGGGCTGATGAGTTTTTCTTTTTCTTTTGATTGGTGTACTGATTCAACTAATCTTTTTTCTTTTATGTTTATATATAACATCTACAAAATCATTTTCATATGATTGTCTGTGAGAAAATTTGGAAGAAACAGAAATTAATCATAACAAGATAAACTAACACAATGCAGGACTTGATGGTTGAGATTGGTGCTAGTGCCAAGTTCTCCTATCTTAAATAGTTTAAGCTCTTAAAATGATTTTTATTGAAGATGTCTTTTGCAGCTCCTAGTCTTATTTCTCTTAGGGTTGTTAAATAAGTAAATAAACCAACCACTATTAAATGTTTCAGAACAACTGTTTGAATTTGTTATTCCTTATTTTATCAACTACTAGCACGTATCCCGTGCGATGCACGGGACAAAGATATTAAATGAGTTATTTTACAGTCTTTTCACTTTAAGTCTAAAAAGTAATAGAGTTATTATCTATTTTCTACCTCTTTTAATCAACATTAAGCCAAAAATACAATAGAGTCATAAGCTTTTCTCCACGTCTTTTAGCCAACGCTGTTTTTTTAGCCAGAACATTAAATATGAGAATGTTAGGGCTAGCTTGTAAAATAATTAATATATTATCTCACTAAAACATTTATACTAATAAAAATTAATTTTAGCGTATAAATTTATCCCATGATATAAGAGAAAGTAACAATTTTACTTATTTTGTTCACCATATAATATTTAATTACTATTTTATATATTATATAATTAAAAAGAATACTGTTAAATAGTGAAGTAATTTTTTATAAAATCATATGATTTCTTTTACAATATAGATTTAATATCTTTTTATGCTTTGATAATATAACTATAATATATTGTTAATGATATAATGATTTACTTAGTATAGCTAGAATGCTGACAAATAAAAAAACTATTAGATGCAGCCAATATTCTGCTATAAGATAATGTTTTCTCGTTATGATGAGGTTTTTATCCATCATATTTTTCTACACATCTATTAGATTAAAAATTTAGATGCAACCATCATTCTGGTATAATTAAGATAAAGGTTTCATCGGAGCGAGATGCATGTCACATGTCATCTAAACTTTTTGATTTTTTTTAGTTTGTTACTTTTAATTATCACAAATTTGTCTGTGTGAATTGATTTACAACATACTATACGTTCAATTTTACAACATACTCTACATTCAATTAAGACTGATTTTTATTTGCTAATGATTTATAAAGTTTGATTATTAATTTGACCAAATATTCTGCTTATTGATTTATAAAGTTTGATTATTATTTTGACCAAACAGGAAAGATGAACTTGTTGGATCAATGTTGTTAATCTAAACAAAACATAAAAGTTTATCATATTATTCTTTAGTCTTTATCAGTTTGTACCGTTTTATCAATGTATGAAACAATTTCATGATTTTTTTTATTTATTCCACGATTTGTTAATTCATTACAGTTTTGAACAATCTATGAAAATTATTAAGCCGCTTTCTGGCAAATATGTATGTGGTTATGTGTTCGTGTATCATAAGTCGCAAACATAATGAATAATGATTAACTATAAATTATTCATTCAAACTTTTATTCATTACAAATATATTAAAATAATTTATATAACAATCATTAAATACTACTTTCAATATATTAATAAATAAAAAAAAGTACATAAAATTTCTAGTGTGTTCAAATTTTTAAGTTTTTGGTGGGCTCAATTTAAAATTATCCAGACATTTGGTCAAACACATAGGTGTGTTCAAATTTAAATCATTGGCATTTTGTTCGATTGAAATTTAAATCATGTTCAATCATCTATCATGGTACTGTGATGTGTATAATGTATATATATATATATATACAATTTTTTAACAAATAATATGTGTTTTATAAAAATAATAGTAATAATTTTACAAGATTTTAGACGTAAAATCTGATTTTTAACCACAATAGAAAAATCATGGTAAGTTGTATTGAAAAGGTGTTATGGGATAAAACAATTAAATACATAATTAAATAAAATACTTAATAAAAATATAATACATTAATTACCTTTGACTTTTCTTATTACAAATTCTAGTAAATAAGATAACTTTTTATATAAGTATAAATTTAATTATTATTTTTTTTTACGGAATAGATTCTAAATTCCATATTGTAGAGATTCTAATCGGAAAAAACATCTATTATATATAATAGAAAGTTTGTTAAATAAATATTTATAGAAATTCTAATTGGAAAAAACATCTATTCTATATTTATAGAGATTCTTATCGGAAAAAACATCTATTCCATATTATAGAGATTCTAATCGGAAAAAACATCTATTCTATATTACAATATGTAATTAATGAATGTTTGTTAAGTTACTAATTTTGGACAATAGTTAATGAATTTGGCGGGAAAAGAATACTAAAAGTGAATTAAGTTAATCCTTATTATATATTAATAGATGTCCAATGTTCAATACTTTCTCTAATTAATTAAGTTGAAAACAAAAAGGGTAATTTAGCTAAAAGATGGTCTAGCAAGGAAATTCTTCAATTTCTCAACTACCATAATCATAATCTAATCAGACCTCATTACTAACAATAAGCTTTCAACTCAGATACAATAACCTTCATTATTCATGAGTTTTTTTTTCCTCTCTTTTGGGCTCTGCTTTTCTATTCACATGGTTTAAAAAAAAAAAAAAAAAAAA